GGCTAATCAAAGTTTTACTGCAATAAAAATAGATTAGAATATCTACTTTGGGACTTAACCCCGGAAGGTCTCTGCTTTGGGTTTTTTTTCTCTTTTGTGAAATGGTTAGAATCGCAGGATTAGGTGATGGTTAGAGGTTACCATGACACAATTTCCAATGTTGAGGGTGGTGAGCAATTGGAGATCCTATTCACGGTGGATGAAGAAGGAAACCAAGAGTGTTCAGATAAGTTGTAGGCACTTTTTGGGACAGTCTGCAGCATATCTTTAATGAAATGTTTATGGTGTTTTGGTAAAGTAACAGTTTCAATAAAGTTTTTCCTCCTCATGGGGGTGCCTGTGTGGCTCCGTCAGTTAAGCATCTGCCTTTGGTTCATCATGATCCCAAGGTCCTGGGATCAAGCCCCATGAATATCTGGCTCCCTGCTCAGTGGGGAGCCTGCTTCTCTCTCTCCCGCTCCTCCCTACTCATGTTCTCTCTCACTTGCTCTACTCTCTCTCTCAAATAAATAAACCTTAAAAAAAAAATAAAAGTTTTTCCTCACAACTCACAAAGATTCTTTGCTTGACCAAACTTTAGTCAGGCTCCTGAATCTCCTCTTAGGCCCTTCTGTACACTTCCTTGTAAATTCCAGTGTTAACCAGAACCCTGCTACATCAGTTTAGCAGGAAACCCTGCCCTGGATATCTGATCACTGCGGCTTATCTTCAGCAAGAATCCTGTGAAGTACCTTGAACCAAAATCACCCTTTACACCTGATGCTTCCTTCCCCTTAGTAATTTGCTATACACCAATCCCTATCCTGTTCCTTGGCTATATAGTCCCACTTGCTCACGCTATCTTTGGAGTTGAGTTTAATTCCCTTCTGCAAGACCCCATTTCAGGGTCCGTACACCTACCATCATGGCCCCTCTTGATGCCTTACCGTCTTCATTAAGTGCCACTGAACAATTTTTTTTAAACACAAGCAAGAGGATGGACAAGTAAAGATCATATACACAGATGGAAGCTGTTGTCAGGGTGCTAGTTTCTGTGTTGGGTGGTGATTTCTTTTTTTTTTTTAAGATTTTATTTATTTATTTATGAGAGCGAGAGTGGGGAGGGGCAAAGGGAGAGGGAGAATCTCAAGCAGGCTCCACACCCAGGTCGGAGCCTGATAACAGGGCTTGATCTCCTGACCCTGAGATCATGACCTGAGCCAAAATCAAGAGTTGGCCACTTAACCAACTGAGCCACCCAGGCCCCCTCCATGTTGGGTGGTGATTTCAAGGGCATTTCTTGTATTATTATTATTATCATTAATAGATAGAAGTCCTTACATAGACACGTAATGAGAATTATGATTAATCTCTCTCTGTGACCCCAAAGTCCAGTCTTATAAAAAAAAGAAGAAAAAAAGAGAAAACACCCTCCCTACCACAAGGGAGGGAAGGTAGCTAATGTGGAACAAAGAGGGGGGCTTACCAAATGAGAACCAGAATCTTGGAATCTAGTCTTTCCAAGAATTTTCCCAGTCTTTCCTATGTTACCACGCCTCCTACCTCTCTCTAGAATCCCTCAATTTATTATCTTTCATGAAATCCCTTGATAGCTGTTCAACTTTGGGCTTTAACCTGAAAAACTGGCTCCCTGTTCTTCTTGTATTAGAAAAATATAGTTATTATTACCTATGCATAACGATAATCATATAAAATAATAATAAACACCCTTGAAACTACCATCCAACATGGAAATTAGAGACTTCCCGTATGATTTTAACAAATGGAGTATGAAACAACCTCAAATCATTGTGTACTTCTCTTCCTATTGGATGAAGTTCAATCACATATAATTTTAAAGAGCCAACATCACAATAATAAAACATTTTTTAACCTCTCATGTAGAAGAAATCTGGAAGGAGAAGGTCTAGAACTGGTCCAGGAAATGGGACCAGCTTCCCAAGCTGTTCTCTGTGCCAGATCCAGCTGTCAGCCTAGGCAGTCTTTCCTATACTTCCAGACATTCCTAATGACAGACTCCTTGAGAGCAGGACACACATCTCATTCTTATCTCATTCTCATCCATGGTGTTGGCACTATGTCAGAACAATTCTTCTATCAATATTGGCTGTAAAATAGAGGATGGACGGATGCCCTGGTGGATGGAGGGATGCTCAGGAGGATGGATGTAAGATTCTAATGGAATTTAATATCTAGTACCAACTATGCTGACATAAGAAAAATTACATAAGCATTTATTCGCTTTACTGCCTTATCTTGTGAATAGACCTTTTAGAATAGGTGTCTGCAAACCAGGCAGTAAATATTTGAGGTTTTGTGAGTCATAAGGTGTCTGTCACAACTCTTCAACTCACTATGGCAGGAACAGACACATGTAAAGGAATGACTGTGCACCAGTGACGTGAAATTTGGATTTCATATAATTTTCACATGCACCAAAATATTCTTCTTTTTATTTTTTAACCATCCAGTAGTATAAAAACCATTCTTGGGGCACCTGGGTGGCTCAGTTGGTTAACAGACAGCCTTCAGCTTGGGTCGTGATCCCAGGGTCCTGGGATCAAGCCCCAAGTCGGGGTCCCTGCTCCTCCGGGAAGCTGCTTCTCCCTCTCCCTCTGGCTGCCACTCCCCCTGCTTGTGCTCTCTGTCAAATAAATAAATAAAATCTTTTAAAAAAGAATAAAAAACATTCTTAGTTTGTGGGCTGCACAAAATCAGGCAGTGAGCTGTAGTTTGCTAACCCCCGGCCTAGAAAGGCAAGCTGACAGAATTAGAAGCACTAAGAAAGGCAATAAAACTATGAGGTGGAAACGCTAGGAAGCCAGAGTGGAATCTAGCTGGCTTTCATTTTCCTTTGGCTTTCCTTTTTCCTCCCCAGGGTCATTCCACATTGCTTTCCTGGGCTCCTCGGGACTTGTTTTCAACCAATGTGCCCATTTTCTCACACCTCCAGTGTTACATCATTCAGAACAGTAATTGCTTAAAATAGGATTCTGGAAGACCAAAGAACGTTCGAGACCCAAAGTAATAGCTTTCTAATGAAGGGCTTTCGTGCACTGAGAGATGTCATTTCATTTTTTTTTTATTTTATTTGACTGAGAGACACAGCAAGAGAGGGAACACAAGCAGGGGGAGTGGGAGAGGGAGAAGCAGGCTTCCCGCAGAGCAGGGAGCCCGATGCGGGGCTCGATCCCAGGACCCTGGGACCACGACCTGAGCCGAAGGCAGACACCTAACGACTGAGCCACCCAGGCGCCCCGAGAGATGTCATTTCATTAACATGAATAAATCTCTATGCGTCCCCATGATGAAATATCATGCCGGCTTCTATTCCTCTCACAAAAGAAACATGCTTCCTGCTTGCATGACTTGGGACAGCCCTGAAGGCAGGAACAGATGTACATACCTATGCTGGAACGAGTAGTGATGACCTACCCGAGAGGAAAAAATATTCTACAGTTCTCATGTGGAGACTGAATTGACTTGAGACCTCACTGCTCTTTTTAGAAGTGCTTAGATTTTAGGTAGTTTCACATTCATGATATGTGAATAAAATAAAGGGTACAGTGTATGACAGATCACATCGTCACATATCACTTAAATGAGCATTTATTATATACTTAGTGAATACTTGGCACTTTGACAATGAGCACTAAGTTATCTCCTTCAGCTCTCACCCAGTTATTTTTGTTTTGTTTTTTTGTTTTTTGTTTTTTTTGTTGTTGTTGTTGTTTTGCGAGAGAGAGAATGAGAGACAGAGAGCATGAGAGGGAGGAGGGTCAGAGGGAGAAGCAGACTCCCTGCTGAGCAGGGAGCCTGATGTGGGACTCGATCCCGGGACTCCAGGATCACGACCTGAGCCGAAGACAGCTGCTTAACCAACTGAGCCACCCAGGCGCCCCTCACCCAGTTATTTTTGGATCTCTTATTAAACCTCTGTGGCCTGTTAACTAAATGACTTCTGAGAGACGAAGCTCAGAAATGACCTCTCTCAATGCATGAAAGCCCTTCATTAGTAATGAGAGCCACTTTTCAGACATCTGTCTCATGAGTCTCTTCTCCCTTTGCTCAGCTCTCTCTCCTAGACGTTCTGTGCAAAATTTTTAACCTTCTCATGTACAAGAAATCTGGAAGTAGGCGGTCTCATTCTTACCTCATTCTCATCTGTGGTGTTGGCACGACGTCAGAACAATTCTTCAATAAATATCTGCCAAAATGAAGGGTTGGGGATGGGTACTGAACCACGGAAGCCACTCCCAGGAGACTGACAGGTAAGTGGAAAGAGCCACAGACCTAACTCCCATGCCTGGCTAGGTGACCTGGTTAAACCAAACCTTTCTGATTTTTTAAATAAATGTTTACATTTCTGGCTTTTGGAATAGGAAGGGTTTGCACTTGGCAATTATCTTCTCAAATCTTTCGCCATTTGCAAATTGGGGATGATAATCTGTCACGTCCAGGAGTGAAGTGACGTTCATAAGGCGCCTGGTATAGGTTGGGTGCGGTAGGGATTTGGGGCGGAAGTGGTGTCGGCTGTTATTTTTATTATGGGCAAAACCAATTCCCTCCAGCGGAGAACACGCTTGCAGGCCGGCTGGGGCTGTGAAAAGCGCAGAGACCTCATCCTTCCAGCATTTCAATTTCCTTAGCCCGGAGCCTGCTTTTCCCTTTCTGCCCATCAGTTGGCGCCTTTTGCCGTCCTTTTTTTCTCTCAAGCTGGTTTTGGGGGCTGCGGTCGCTCCGCAGCTCGCAGGTCACATGGCCTGCCGGAGCAAGGGGACCCGGCGCGGGAGCTGCGCCGCGGGAGGAGGTGAGGCTCCGGCGCGCACCCGAACCGCGCGGCGCCCGCTCCTCCCGGGCCTCGGGGTTGGGCGATGGCCCCTCTGTGGCGCTGAGCCAGCCCGCCTAGGCGACACCAGAGGCGGCCCTCGGCGTGCGCGGAGGACGGAGCTGACCGCCCCCACCGGGTAGGTTTTCGCTGCGTGCGATCTGCCCAGCCTCTCTGGCATCGCAGCCGGAGCGCGGGGACGAGGATTCCCCGGGCCGCCGCTGGCGCGGGGAGAGCCGCAGCGGGTGCTGGCGTAGCTCCGGAGGGCCTGCGCCCCCGGCCGTGCGCTCTGGGCAGGCGAGCTTCGCTGAGGCCCGGCCCGGGGTGCCGGCCGCTTCCTGCCGGAGGACCGCGGGGACCCCAGAAAGGCGTCCCCCGCGCGGCCCGGGCCGGTGTCAGGGCAGGGATGAACGAGTGTCGCGGCGAGGGCGTCTCTCCACCCCTCGCTCGCTTCGGCTGCGCCGCGAGGCCGACAGGAAGGCGCGAGCCGGGCGCGTGCGAGCCCAGGTAAGACCCTGCGCCTGGCCCGCCTGGCCGGGCCGCACAGCCAAAGGGTGCATTGCCTAATGGCCGCCCGCCCGCGGCGAGGGTCCCTCGCGCGTCCGCCCCTCCGGCCAGCCGGGCTCGCCAAAGCGCTGCTGCGGCGTGGGGTTTCTGCGCGCGACCTCGCAGCCCGGGGACCGAGGAAGGGCGACCCGGCAGAGGAAGGCGTCCCTCCCAGCTCCCGGAAAGACCAGCCGAAGGGAGCCAGCGCGGCGAGTGGAACCGTTAGCCTCGACCTACGGGTGGGGAAACTGAGGCCCGAGCGCGATGGGGACTGCCCAAGGTCAGCAGCTGACGCTAGATCCGGGACTGTGGTCTTCCGCTCCTATTCTCTTTCCGCGAGGACTGGAGGGGACCACCCCCCGCTAGTCACATCCTCCTCCTGGCCTCTGGGCGCGGGCGTTGTCGGTGCCGCACTGCGCCCGAAGTGCCCAGGGGCGAGAGCTCCCGCAGGGTGGGTGTGACCCTGGCATCCCCTGCTGGTCCGGGGCTGCCCCCGGGAGAGGCGCAGGGCGGCTCCATTGATGATCTCTCTATGCGGCCCATTAGCAAAACCTGCAGGTGTGTGTGCGTGTGCGAACTGGAGAACTGAACTGGTAAGGGGCATAGCTTTTTTTAGGGGTGCATTTCTAGAGTGCACTGTACCAGGTACTTTGGGAGGTGACAAGAGAAAACTACGTGTGTCTAACACCTAGCCTTATTAAAATTATTAGAATTTTTTGAAGGATTAGCGTATTACAAAGCATTCAGGAAACAAAAATGTAGAGGAGAAAATAAAGATAACTTAAAACTTCATCTAGATTGTTGAGACTTTTTGGATATCGACTTAAAGTTTTCTCTGCATACAAACATCTAAACCAATAAGGTAGACAAAAATAGCATCTTGTTTTAATTTGCACGTCTGATTACCCAGGGGGAGCTAATACCTTTTCCTCTGTGTACTTGCGTTTTGCATTTACAGGGGTGAACGTCTTAATTCTTTTGTCCCGCCCCCCTCTTTTAAAAGTAATTTCTATGCCCAACCTGGGGCTCGAACTCACAACCCCGAGATCACCAGTTGCACACTCCACCGTCTGAGCCAGCCCCTCCTTTGCCCCCTTTTCAATTGGAGTGTCTTTCTGTTCCTGATTTTTAAGCATTCTTTTTTTTTCCTTTTATTTTTTTTATTAAGCATTCTTTATATATTACGCATTAAAGAAGTAATTCTTTTTTTTTTTTTAAAGATTTTTTATTTATTTGAGAGAGAGAGAAAGCACATGAGGGGGGGGAGGGTCAGAGGGAGAAGCAGACTCCCTGCCGAGCAGGGAGCCCGATGCGGGACTCGATCCAGGGACTCCGGGACCATGACCTGAGCCGAAGGCAGTCACTTAACCAACTGAGCCACCCAGGCGCCCGCTTTTTTTTTTTTTTTTTTTTAAGATTTTATTTATTTATTTGAAAGAGACATAGAGAGAACAGGAACACAAGCAGGGGGAGTGGGAGAGGGAGCAGCAGGCTTCCCGCGGAGCAGGGAGCCGGATGTGGGACTCGATCCCAGGACTCTGGGATCATGACCTGAGCCGAAGGCAGACGCCCAACGACTGAGCCATCCAGGCGCCCCATAAGTAATATATTTTTATTTTTATTTTTTTAAAGATTTTATTTATTTATGTGAGACAGAGAGAATGAGAGACAGAGAGCATGAGAGGGAGGAGGGTCAGAGGGAGAAGCAGACTCCCTGGCTGAGCAGGGAGCCCGATGCGAGACTCGATCCCGGGACTCCAGGATCATGACCTGAGCCGAAGGCAGTCGCTTAACCAACTGAGCCACCCAGGCGCCCTAAAGAAGTAATTCTGTCATTTATGTTGCATAGTCTTTCCCAATCTGCTTGTCGGTTTTGTCAGTTTTTCATCTCTGACCGCATACAAATTTAACTTTTTCATTTAGTCGTGTTTTGTTTTTTTTTTTAAGTGGTTTCTACTTGCAGACCTTGATGAGAAGGGGCTTTCCTAAACCTTTAGGCTTTTCCTAAAATATAGAACTTTTCTTCTGTATTTCCTTCAGGCACCTTTAAGCTTTTGTTTGAAAATTTTAATGTGAAATTTATCCTAGCTTAAGTTATAAAGTGGAGAGCTAATTTACTTTTCCTGAAGAGTTAGCTATGAAGTCCACTTTTCACCCCGATTTAAATTGCTTCAGTTATGGTAGATTAAATTATTACATGTTTGTATCTGTGTGGATTTTCGCCTCTATTTATCAGTATATTTTGGTGCTGGAGCCATGTTATTTTAATTACTGAAGTTTTATAGTAGGTGTAAGATCTGGTTAGGCAGATTCGCTCTTACTACTCTGTATTATCATTTTCCTGGCTCTTTTTTTTTTTTTTTAAGATTTTATTTATTTTTTTGACAGAGAGAGACAGAGTGAGAGCAGGAACACAAGCAGGGGGAGTGGGAGAGGGAGAAGCAGGCTTCCCGCAGAGCAGGGAGCCCGACGCGGGACTTGATCCCAGGATCCTGGGATCATGACCTGAGCCGAAGGTAGACGCTTAACGACTGAGCCACCCAGGCGCCCCCATTTTCCTGGCTCTTAGAAAAATCAATTTTATTGAAGTACGGTTTACATGCAATAAAATACACCATTTAAATGTATATTTTGATGAATTTTATCAAAGGTAACTACCATCACAATAAAAAATTATGAAGTGCTACATAAAATTGATGTTATTATTGTACAGGGGCCCTGCTAATCTTTGATACATCCTCCCAATTTTAGTATATGTGCCAGCAAAGCGAGCATTTCCTAGCATTTTTTATTAGTACTAATTCCAGAAAATCTTTTGAATGCTTTGGTCAAGTTAACTAACCTCTCCCTCCCTGCGCAACCAAAGGAAACAAACAAAATCTTGTCTGAATTTTTTTTTTAATATTTTATTTTTTATTTGACAGAGAGATAGAGAGAGAGGACAGGTAGGCAGAGAGGCAGGCCGAGGGAGAGGGAGAAGCAGGCTCTCTGCTGAGCAGGGAGCCCGATGTGGGGCTCGATCCCAGGACCCTGGGATCATGACCTGAGCTGAAGGCAGACGCTTAACCGACTGAGCCACCCAGGCGCCCCTCTTGTCTGGATTTCTATTGGATTTTGATAACAAGGGTCCTCAGAGTATAGGGGCCCTGGATGTCATGTTCACCATCCCAGTGCCCGGCACAAGACTCAGTATTTGTTGAATGAATGTTTAATAATTATCACAAAAGTAATATATACTCTTTACAAAAGTGTTGAAAGGGGACGCCTGGGTGGCTCAGTCGGTTAAGCGTCTGCCTTCCGCTCAGGTCATGATCTCAAGGTCCTAGGATCCAGCCCCATGTAGGCTCCCAGCTCAGCGGGGGAGTCTGCTACTCCCTCTGCCCTTCCCCTCTCCCTGCTCATGCTTGTGCGTGCACTCTCTCTCTCTCTCTCTCTGAAATAAATAAAATCTTAAAAAAAGCAAAAGCAAAACAGGAAGCATCTATTCCTCCATACCTTCATCTCTCTTTCCCTAAATTATACTCCATATTAAAAATAGAATGACCATACTATGTACATTTTTCTACAATTGCACTGACATAGTTGGCATTATTTTTCCCGTAGAGACTTCAAATCTGCTCAAATTGTAACGGATTACCATAGATTGAGTGGTATAAACAGCAAAACATTTCTTTCTGGAGGCTGAAAGTCTGAGATCAGGCTGCCCTCATAGCTGGGTTCTGCTGAGGGCCCTCTTCCTGGTGTATGGATGCTACCTTCTCACTGTATTCTCACTGGCAGAGAGCAGAGTGAGCAAGCCAGCACTCTCCCACCTCTTCGTATAAGGGCACTAATCCCAACATGAGAGTTCCACCAGCAAGACCTAATTATCTCCCAGAGACCCCCTATCCAAATACCATCACGTTGAAGATTAGCGTTTCAATACACGAATTTGGGGGGAGCGCATTCAGTCCATAGCAGAGACCTAGATAAGACTTTTTAAATGTTAGTATATTTAAAGCTTTAATGGCTCCTTATAATCCCTTTGTATAATTATCTAAAAATGTGTTTCCTGTTCCTGGGTATTTTCTTTCCCTCCAGTTCCTTCCTCTTTCCTTCTTCCTCTCCTTTTCTCCCCTCTCTTCCCCTGTCCCTCCTCCCTTCCCCCTCTTTATCTTTCTCTTTCTTACTATTACAAACAAAACTGCCATGAACATTCCTTGTCCATCTTTGGTAGCAAGTGTTGGCATTTCTGCAGGATAGATATCTAGAAAGAATTTCTATGTCAAGGGGGATGCACATATAAAATTTTTATAGATATTGGTTCAACTTTCCTCCCAAAGGTTGCACCAATTTATATCAAGTGCCCATTTGTTGAACTGGGCCACTCCCTCCTGAAGTAAATTGAACTGACATTATATTAAATATAGAGATTAATTCTAGAGAAAGAGATCTCTATCCTCTTTCATTAGTGAGGCTTTCCAGTGGGGAAAATCTTATGTTTCTCCACTTACTAAGGACTTTTTAAATATCTTTCAGTAGAATTTTATGGTATGTGTGTATATTCTGCATATTTAAAAAATTTATTCCTAGGTTTTTACCCCATTTTCACGGGGATCTTTTATCCCATTAATTCATTTGGTTATTGTCTGATTAGGTGAAGCAGTTTGTGTGTGTGTATGTGTGTGTGTAATACTATATATTATTTTAAAATATTTTTACATATTAATATTTACATTTACATTCTGAAACTCTGTTACCATTTCTAATGATTTTTCAGCTGATTTTTTTTGGGTTTCCAGTCTCTGCAGAGACAGTATTGCATATTGGTTGGGAACATGGGTTCTGGAGCCTGTCTGCCTAGGTTCAAGTTTTCCCACACACTTAAAAGCTTTGTTAACCTTTGATACAATTTAATTCTGTCTTTAGGTTTTTCAGGTATAAAATGGGCTGAATAATAGTATTTCTCATAGGCTTCTTATGAGGATTGATGAGATGCTTAGAACATTGCCTAGCACATAATACGTGCTCAGTAGACCTGTACAAATAAGTTGATCTCTGCACACTATAAGGCCATGCTCTCTGATACTCCCCATTTTTTTTTTTTAAGATTTTATTTATTTATTTGACAGAGAGAGGCACAGTGAGAGAGGGAACACAAGCAGGGGGAGTGGGAGAGGGAGAAGCAGGCTTCCTGCCGAGCAGGGAGCCTGATGTGGGGCTCGATCCCAGGACCCTGGGATCATGACCTGAGCCGAAGGCAGACGCTTAATGACTGAGCCACCCAGGCGCCCCTGATACTCCCAATTTTATAGCTGAAGGAATTGAGACCCACCGAGGTTAAATGACTTGACTGTGAGCGTTTATTTGCTTAACAAACATTGAGCCTCTCCTATGCATAGGGTACTGTGATGAGTCTGCAAGGGATATCAAAGATAAATCATACTGAAATCCACTAACAACAGATTTGTAAGTCCAATTGGGGCATAAGTCAGGGGTCATGAATAAAGCCATGGAGGGCAGCAGGTATTGTGGACAAAATATGGGTTTGGAATTTCTCCTCTGTTTTAATTTCCTGCTCTCAACTTGGTAGCATTTTTTTTTTTCCTCTAAATGGGATTAGTTCCATTGCTATTCAAGAGTTGCTATTTTGGCTAAATGAAATAGATGTAAGAGTCTATTACAGAGGGCGCCTGGGTGGCTCAGTTGGTTAAGCGACTGCCTTCGGCTCAGGTCATGATCCTGGAGACCCGGGATCGAGTCCCGCATCAGGCTCCCTGCTCGGCAGGGAGTCTGCTTCTCCCTCTGACCCTCCCCCTTCTCATGCTCTCTCTCTCTTAAATAAATAAAATCTTAAAAAAAAAAAAAAAGAGTCTATTACAGAACTTGGGTATGTAGTAGGAGCTTAATAAGTGGTAGCTATACATAGATACAGTTTGAAGTAGCAAGTGATAAATGAATGTTCTGGGAGGGAAATTTATGTAAAGGGGCCAAACACTTGAGAAACAAGAGTTTATTTCTGTTTGGGGTGATGAGGGTTGGCTTTTAAGAGGTCCCTTTTGAGCTGATTCTTGATGGTTGAGTAGCCTGTGTGAGGAGAAGAAATAAGACTGGAGAGATAGTTGAAACTGGATTGTGAAGAATCTTGGTGAAGAATTTGGACTTCATTCTGTAGTCATTGGGGAATCATGAACAGTTACACAGAAAAGAGCATCGTGTTCAGACCTGTGGTTCAGAGCATCAGAGGGATGCTGATAATGTAAAACGTTACCATCATTTGCAGTGTCTTCTGTTTGAAAAAGGGCTTTCATAGCCGCTGTCTCATTTCATCCCCACAGTGCCTCCATAAACGAAGTATTTTTCATTTTCCTATTTGGCAGAGGCAGAATAGTCTCAGATGAATGATTTCTTTACAAATGGACCTAATGAGTGAGTGCTGGGACCAGACACGGACCAAGATCTTGTGGCTTCCAATCCATTGCTCCTTCTGGAAGTCGGAGGCCTAGTTAGGAGCCTGTTGCTATCAGCTGGCCTGGAGGTGATGAGGAGTAACAAGGGAGGCAGTGCAGAAGGGTATGGCTGTGGCGGGGAGAGGAGAGGAGAGAGGCGCCAAAGAGGCCATATGGGTGGCATTGCTGGGACTTGGGAAGTGACTGGATAGGGCTGAGAAGTCAGAACGTACTGGTCTTTTGGACCCAAGATTCCTGGGAGAGTGGTGGTGCCATTCACGTAGGAGGGCAGCAGTGGGAAGCAGTCTTCTTGATTGCTGATCTCCTGGCACTCAGCCTGGGGTACTCCCTCACATGCCCCTGTGACCCCTTCAGCTTAATTTTTATTTATTTTATTTTATTTTTTAAAAAGATTTATTTATTTGAGATAGAGAGAGTGCAGGGGGAGAAGGAGAGAGAGAGAGAGACTCTCCAGCAGATTCCCTGCTGAGCACGGAGCCCGATGCGGGGCTCGATCCCATGACCCTGAGATCATGCATGACCCGAGCCGAAATCAAGAGTCAGCCGCTTAACCGACTGAGCCACCCAGGCGGCCCCAGCTTAATTTTTAGAAGCTGCAGGAAAGTGTAACTATCACTGTCACTCCATTTATTCATTCTAGCCCTATTTCCTGTTCATTTCTTGGTGTCTTTGTCTTCTACTGTCTTTTCTGAGCCCTCCATCCGAGACACAGTAACAGACATAATCCAATTTACAAAATGGTTGTGTTTCAAAGTGTACCAGGAAGGCATAGATAAGAACTCAGTAATCATTACGCCGTTGGTGTCGTTTTCAGGCCGCCTCACGAATGCCAGTCAGCCCACAACATTGTGGAGTGTGGTCCTGAGCTGGTGATGCCCTGGGTGACTATGGAATTCTGGGAAAAGACGAGTGGTAATGCACACATGGTCCTACTTCTGTCCCACCCCCGTACTGGGCTGGGAGTAGAGACCTCCTTCCCTCAAACTACCACTGCAAAACCCTGCTTTCAGGTAAGTTATCTTAAAACCAAATCAGTAAAGTGAAATAAAGTGAAATAATTGTAGGAGGCCTGGAACGCCACACCCCACAGTGCAGCAATTGGTTAAATCCTTTAAGAAGATGTTTTAAAAAGCAAACCAGAACACAGTCTTGAATATCTACCGAACTCCATGTGGCTGAATTTTAGGCAGACCAGTCATCTGATCATTGAAGGATCTGATCCCACCTCCCATGGCCCAAAATGGGTGTGCTAGATTGCATTATTGTCCAAGATATTTTCTGCCTCTCCCTGGAGAGACATGTATTTCCCTAACCATTAGCTTCAGGCTTGGCCGTATGTCTTTCAGTACCCCTTCTTGCAGGAAGATTACAAAACTCTGTTCTCTTGAACTCAAGGGTTGTTATGTAACTTGCACTGGTCAATGAAAGGTAGGTGGATGTAACGTGTGTCATTTTTGAGCTGTGACTTTGAGCTGTGTCTCTTTCTCCTCTGCCACAAAACCAGCAATTTCTAGAAAAGAGGCAGTTCCATCTATCTTGGTCCTGGAGTGTGAATGACAGGGAGCAGAGTCTTCACTGATCCATAATGGACAAGTAACATGAGCAAGAATTAAACCTCTTTTCTTATAAACCCCTGAGATTTAAGGGTCATTACTCTAGTCTGTCCTGACTCATACTGTGTATAGTGATATGGGGGCCAGATGCCTTGTGAGCATTTTAGAAATGTCCCAGACTCTGAGCAGATTGCTAGAACCTTTCTTTTTTCCCACAGGCTTAAAGAAAGTGGCCTGCTGCTTTTGCTTTCCATTGAACCTTCATCAGGAGAACAGCACTCTGGCACTGTATTTTTTTTTTTTTTTTGAGACAGAGAGAATGAGAGAGAGAGAGCATGAGAGGGGGGAGGGTCAGAGGCAGAAGCAGGCTCCCTGCCGAGCAGGGAGCCCGATGCGGGACTCGATCCCGGGACTCCAGGATCATGACCTGAGCCGAACGCAGTCGCTTAACCAACTGAGCCACCCAGGCGCCCTGGCACTGTATTTTTAAAGCAAGCTATTCCTGAGATGTTAATGATTTTATTGCCCCCAGTGGAGAAATTGCCTGGGATTAAAGGTCCTCTTGATGTCAGTACCAGGTGCTCCAGTTCCTGACCCACCTGCCAGAGGGGAGAGAGAATCAGGAGCCTGGGGTGTCAAGGGGCAGGATAATATGACCTGAGGGCAGCAACACAGGGGGGCTTGGAGAGAACTGACATCTTAACTTCTCCTGCCCCACACAATGAAAGTGAAGGAAGATCATCATGCTTGCTTGATGAACAACTTCAAGAAAATCTTCTCCCCTTGTACCCACCTGGAGCTTGTTACGAGCCTCTTTTGTGCAGAAAATCTGAAGCCAGCCCTGCACGCACACCAGGCCCCTTAGCAAGATCCTAGAAAATAGAGCAGGAAGCCATGGGCCTGGGAAGGCTGGGTGCTTTTAGGGTCCCTCTAGTCATACCTGGATTTAAGAGTGTGCCCTTTGAGTACATTTTCCCCCTTTTGCTACACAAATAGTAGCATGCTAGACAGACTTTTCTAGGTCTTCTTTCACTGAAAATACATCTTAAAATTTTTCCATATCTGTATATGAAGAGTTTGCTGCTTTTTTTTTAAGATTTTATTTTATTTATTTGACAGAGGTTGAGAGAGACAGCTAGAGAGGGAACACAAGCAGGGGGAGTGGGAGAGGGAGAAGCAGGCTCCTGGCCAAGCAGGGAGCCTGATGCGGGGCTCGATCCCAGGACCCTGGGATCACGACCTGAGCCGAAGGCAGATGCTTAACCGACTGAGCCACCCAGGCATCCCCAGAATTTGCTTTTTTGAACCTTTTTTGTTGTTGTTGAGAACACTTAAGTTCTACTGTCTTAGCAAATTTCAATATTGTATCTTAGCAAGCACAGTATTGTCAGCTGTAGTCACCAAGTTATGCATTAGATCCTCAGACCTTATTCATCCTATAACTAAAAGTTTATACTCTTTGACCAACCTCTCCCTACTCCCACAGCCCTCCCCTTAGCACCTGGTAACCAACGGTCTATTCTGCTTCTGTGAGTTTGACTTTTTTTTAGATTCCACATACAGATGATACTATGCAGTATTTCTCTCTCTCTGTCTTATTTCACTTAGCATAATGCTTTCTGGATTCATCCATGCTGTCACAAATGGCAGGATTTCCTTCTTTTTTCTAAGGCTGATTAATATTCCATTGCATAGATACACCACATATTCTTCATCCATTCATCCATCCATTAGTGGACATTTGGGTTGTTTCTGTATCTTGGCTATTGTGAATAATGCTGCAATGCCAGATACCTCTTTGAGATAGTGTTTTTTTTTTTTTCCTTTGGACATATACCCAGATGAGGGATTGCTGGATCATTTGGTAGTTGTACTTTTAATTTCTTGAGGAAGCTCCATACTGTTTTCCCTCCATATCTCCAGAGTGGCTGTACCAGTTTATGTTTCAGCCAATAGTAAACAAGTGTTTCCTTTTTCCACATCTGTGCTAGCATTTCTTATCTCTTGCCTTGTTGATAACAGACATCTTAATAGGTGTGAGGTGATATTTTATTGTGGTTTTGATCTGTGTTTCCATGATGATTAGTGATGTTCAACACCTTTTCAAGTGCCTGTTGGCTGTTTATATGTCTTTGGAAAAATGTCTATTCAGATCCTTCTTTGCCTGCTTTTAAATAAGTTGGTTATTGTTATTATTATTGCTATTGAGTTGTATGAATTCTTTATATATTTTTGGATATGAACTCCTTGTCTAATATGTGGATTACAAATATTTTCTTCCATTTTATAGGTTGCCTTTTTATTTTATTGATGGTTTCCCTTTGCTGTGTGGAAGCCCTTTAGCTTGATGTAGGTGCACTTAGTTATGTTTGCTTTTGTTGCTTTATTTTGTGTAAAATAAAATAAAAAAAAAAAATCATTGCCAAAACCAATGTCAAGACGCTTACCTCCTATGTTTTCTAAATTGCCCTGGCTCTCCAAGGTCTTTTGTAGTTACATACTAATTTTAGGATTGTTTTTCCTGGAATTTTAATAGAGATTGCATTGAACCTGTAGATCCTTTGTAGATCATCTGTAGATCATTTTGGGTAATATGGACATTTTAACAATATTAATTCTTCTAATCCATGACCACAGAATATCTTTCCATTTATTTGTGTCATTTTCAGTTCTTTCAACAATGTCTTACAGTTTTCAGTATACAGATATTTCACCTCCTTGGTTAAATTTATTCCTAAGTATTTTATTCTTTTTGATGCTATTGTAAATGGGATTGTTTTCTTAATTTCTCCTTATTAGTGTATAAATATGCAACTGGTTTTTGTATGTTGAGCTCATATCCTGCAACTTTATTAAATTCATCTGTTGGTTCTTGGTTTTTTGAGTCATATACCATTGGCAGTTAGAGCCAGGTGATCCAGGGGCCCATCCCTCAGGTGTTGCTGCAAAAGCTGGGACACCAGGCCTTTGTATGAGCTCCTTCCAGAGAGATGCTGGGGATCTGGTTTTATCATTGGAGTGAGCCCATGGGAGAAGGTGGGAGAAGTGCCTATCAGTTCCCCTGGGTTCTGGGGAGAATCTCAGCCAACTCCTAGATATGTGCTAAGTTAGGAGCTGGACCCTGTGGCAGGAACTTGTAAAGTATGCACTCAAAACCCTTCCAGGGAAAAATTAGGGGATGGTCATTTCTGCCTGCTCCCTGCATGCTGAGCCCTGGAGGGGATAGAACTGGCAAGTGCTCACGTTCCCACAAAGAACTGTTTCTTTGTTTGCTATGGTCCTGTTGGTCTCATGGATGCAAGCCCCACTGGCATTCAGAGCTAGATGTTTTCAGGTGGGAGTCTTAAAATTTGGGGTGCTAGATATGTGGCCCAAACCCTTTACTCCTCAGGGAGAAGCTGGGAATGGGAAGTTCCCTCCCCATTATAGGGCCCTGTATTGGGGGTGGGGTTATGGTTGGAGTGTGTCTCAGCCTTTCTTTCCTACCTGTTTCAACGTGGGTATTACCTCATTTTCCCTAGGTGTAGGGGTTCCTCAGCTAGTTTCTGGATTTCTCTCAGGGAATTTCTCATAATGTAGCTGTACATTTAATGCATCCAGTGGGAGGAGAGAAGTTCAGGAGCCATGTTGCCATCTTGGTCTCTTCCAAGTGTGCTTGCTTTTAATGGGTACTTTGTATTCCGTTCTTTGGATGTATCGTAATTTATTTGACTCACTCTCAATTGATGAGCACTTGGCAGTATTTTGCTATTACAAATAATGCTGCAAGTCATTTCCCACAGTTGAGAATATTTATCTTGGAAGGAATGTTAGAAATGGAATTTGCAGTCATTAGTGGTTTTCCTAGATATTCCCAAATTAATTCTACAGAGGTTGTGCTGATTTATACTCCCATTAGCAAAATATGTGAATGACAATTTGGTAGGCCCTACTTTGCATGGGTCAGGGAGAGTGTATTAAAGGATGAGAAGAAGCTATCTACATAAAGAAGCAGGGAGGGTAGGGGAATAAACTGTTCCAGGTTATGGGAGTTGTGTAAGCAAAGGCCAGGAGTTGGGTAAGAGTGTAGCATAGTCAGTGTTCTGAAAGATCAGTGTGTCTAGAGCTACTAATTGGTGACATGTGGCTATTGATTACTTGAAATGTGACCAGTCTGCATTGAGATATGCTGCAAATGTAAAATATACACTGGATTTCAAAGACTTAGTATAAAAAAAAAACATAAAATACCTCATTAATAATTTTTCATATTGCTTTCATGTTGAAATAACAGTTCTGATGTATTTAAAACATTATTAAAATTAATTTCATCTGTTTCTTTTTACTTTTTTACTGTGGCTGCTGGAAAATTTTAAATACCCAAGTGGCTCTTGCATATATTTCTATTGGAGAGTGCTAGTCTAGAACAGGGACTGGTGAACTATGGGCTGCTGGCCAAATTTGGCTTGCAGCTTGTTTTTATGTGGCTGGAGCACTAAAAATAGTTTTTATATTTTTAAAGAGTTTTACAAAAGAAAAAGTCTAGGAAGAATATGCAACAGAGACAGTATGTGGCCTGCAAAATCTAAAATATTTACTATCTAGCCCTTTACAGAAAAATATTGCCAACCTCTAATTTTGAGTAACTAGCGCATAGTCCAGATCATAAAGGGTCTCGTGGACCATAATAAGAAATGCGGATTTTATTACCAGAGCAATGGGAAGCTAAAGAAGGGCTTTAAGCAGGAGAGTGGTATGAGCAGATTTATGTGTTCAAATGATGCGCACACACACACACATACACACATACACACAATCCTTAAACAGCCCACCCCTGGGACTGATCTGGACTAAAGAGCGTCACATTCTTGCTTTACCAGAAACTGTCACCACAAATGTGTCGAAGGAGTGTGGATGGGGATTTTGCACCAAACAGCTCTGCATTGTCATATTGTCACATTATCATGTCTGCGCTGTCCATGGGCCTGGCATTCTCCAAGCTGCAGGCCTTATCTTGGTGACTGTATTTTGTTCCTCCTTCTAAGTGGGTACGGCTCTCTTGGGTAATAGCAAGTGCAAGGAGAACAAGGTGAGCAGAAAGACACCTGAATGACCCCATTCCTTACCAGGAGTGTAAGCTCAATGCAGTTTCAGTCCTTGGCTTCCACGAGGAGTGATGTGCATCCACGTGATTTAAATTAACTCCATTGGCCTGAGTAGCTCACAGGGAGAAGCATCCCGTCTATCGTACTCTGAACGTTCACAAACCAGCAGGCCTGGGATTGCCTGCTGTTCAAACCTCTCCCTGCTATTTCCCTCTTCAGGTACTACCCAGATCTCTTACTAGTACTGGGGTAGTCTGTCTCACCTCTGGGTCCCACAGTGTAATGTGCTTCTGATGCTGAAATGAGCCTTCATTGAATTATTATGTCATTATCTTATAGAGAGAGGTGTGGTATTGTACATGGTTCTAGGGGGCTGGACAGGTTACTGCTGTAATAAACAAGTCCAAAAATCATTAGTGACTAGACACAGTGGATTATGTATTATTCCCCACACAGCCCACTCTAGATTGGAAGGCTCCTGGGAGGTGAGCAGTGGGAGGGACCTCTCTTCTCTGCGTCATTCAAGACGACGTAGGATTGAACCCAGTGTTGGGCTCCGTGCTCAACACGATGTCTGCCCGAGATTCAATCTCCCTCTCCCTTTGCCCCTCCCCCCACTCATGCCTGTGCTCTGTCTCTCCCTCTCAAATAAAATAAACAAATAAAATCTTTTAAAAAAATGTATCCGTACAGGGGCGCCTGGGTGGCTCAGTCAGTTAAGCGTCTGCCTTAGGCTCTGCCTTAGGCTCGGGTCGTGATCCCCCGCGTTGGGCTCCCTGCTCAGCGGGGAGTCTGCTGCTGCATTGAAATATCAGATGGCTCCTGCCATCTGCTGGCTCCACCCTCCTCCAGAGCCACTCAGTTGGCGAATGGAGAATGGGAAAGTCAGGAAAGCACAAATGCTCTCAACCACCTTGGCCCAGGAGCCACACCTGTCACTTTGCTTATATTTTCCTGGCAAATCCTACTCACTGGACCCCACCTGGAAGAAGATGAGCTAGGGAATATGGTCTTTCTGTGTGCCCGAGAAAGGGAGGACACGGAAGTGACGGCCCTGAACGCAGCACCACAACCTCATATGGTCCCTGGGAAGCCCTTCCTTCAAGATAACTCACAAGCGAGGCGGTTTCCTCCAAATGTGTACGCACTGTATTATGCTTCTGACATAAGAGGTTTAGGTCTACCTTCTGTTCTTTAGACACCGCTTAGTTTTGCATTGACATTACTAGTGCTATACTGGTTTTGTCCTTTTAATTCTGTTTCTCAGTATGAGTCTATTTTCCCTCCGATCATTAGGCCTCCTTACTCCCAAGGTATTGCTTGAGTTTGTATGTATGAATACATTTTTATTTTTTTATTTTTAAAGATTTTATTTATTTATTTGAGACAGAGAGAGAGAGCACAAGCAGGGGGAGAGGGAGAAGCAGACTCCCCGCTGAGCAGAGAGCCCGACGCGGGGATCACGACCCGAGCCTAAGGCAGAGCCTAAGGCAGACGCTTAAGGGACTGAGCCACCCAGGCGCCCCTGTACAGATACATTTTTTTAAAAGATTTTATTTGTTTATTTTATTTGAGAGGGAGAGACAGAGCACAGGCATGAGTGGGGGGAGGGGCAAAGGGAGAGGGAGATTGAATCTCGGGCAGACATCGTGTTGAGCACGGAGCCCAACACTGGGTTCGATCCTACAACCCCGAGACCACGACCTGAGCTGAAACCAAGAGTCAGACGCTAAGCCAGCTGAGCCACTCAGGTGCCCCCATATGGATACATTTTTTAAAAGTTTTATTTGAGTAATCTGAGCACCCAACATGGGGCTCCAAGTCAGGACCCCGAGGTCAAGAGTCACAGGCTTTTCCAACTGAGCCAGCCAGGCGCCCCAAAGCTGTGGGGAAATGATGGGACTTTCCATCCACTGGGTGGCCGAGTTGGGAGTCACACGTGTGCCTGACCTCCAGCCTGCACTCTGAGCCGTCACGTCATGCAACATCCTTTCTGGACCAGGCTGGGGGTAACTGTCTCTTCTATCTTCATTTCTGTGTATCCCTCCCTCCTTCATTGCAAGCTGCTCATGGACCTTTCTTCAGATATTTCCTCCCCTCCCACGTCTGGGGCTCTGGAGTTCACTTGCATATGGGAGATACTGATTCCTATGGTAGTGCTATAAAAAATAAAACGGGAGAACAACCAGAATTAAACTAAGATGCAGTTTTAAGTATAGTTTCATGAGATTAGAGAAATAAGAATGGAAGATCTTGACAAAGACATCTCAGAGAATCCTAAAGAGTCCTTTTCTTGTTCGGGATGTGCAGAAAAGACAGTTTTCAGAAACTGCTGTGCGTAGTCAGTCAATACACACTTGCTTTGGAATTTACTTTAAATGTGTATTTGCTTTGTGTCAAGTCTTGCTTTTTCATCTGTTTTAAGAACACAGGTCTATGTAGCTGCTGCATTGAAATAAGGACTTGTGTGACTTTCTGGCACATTGTAAACCCAGCTAACCATCTGAGGGTGTGGCAACTTGCTTGGATACACCAAGATTTCCTTACTCATAGAAATAATGAAAATCCCGGAGATCATTAACCTACACAACCGAAAATAGTGTACTTGAGAAAATACTTGGAAGTCTCTAGTAGCTACAACTTAGAATTTCTGGGTTGATGTGTGCTGCATTCTGTCTCTGGATTGTTTTTTTGTTTCTTTGTTCTTTAAGGCCTCTTACCATTCTGTACTTGTCTCTCTCTAGGTTTGACTTGTGCAGATTCGGGCCTGCATTCCAGGATGGTTTGTTCTTGGGACCAGACCTGACCAGAAGTTGACCTCATGAGCACATCAGCCCCTCCCGCTGCCATGCTCCTCCGGAGGCTGAGGCGGCTCTCCTGGGGCAGCACCGCTGTCCAGCTCTTGATCTTAACGGTGGTGACGTTCGGCTTGCTGGCCCCCCTAGCCTGTCACCGCCTCCTGCACTCTTACTTCTATCTGCGCCATTGGCACCTGAACCAAATGAGTCAAGAATTCCTGCAGCAAAGTTTGAAAGAGGGCGAAGCTGCCCTCCACTACTTTGAGGAGCTGCCGTCTGCCAATGGCTCGGTGCCCATCGTCTGGCAGGCCACCCCCCGCCCCTGGCTGGTCATCACCATCATCACTGTCGACAGGCAACCTGGCTTCCACTACGTCTTGCAGGTGGTGTCCCAGTTTCACCGGCTTCTGCAACAATGCGGCCCCCAGTGCGAGGGGCACCAGCTCTTCCTATGCAATGTGGAACGTAGCGTGAGCCACTTCGATGCCAAGCTGCTGTCAAAGTATGTCCCGGTGGCCAACCGCTATGAGGGCACTGAGGATGATTATGGTGATGACCCTTCGACCAACTCGTTTGAGAAAGAGAAGCAGGACTATGTCTATTGCCTGGAGTCCTCCCTGCAGACCTACAACCCAGACTATGTCCTGATGGTGGAAGACGACGCCGTCCCGGAAGAGCAGATCTTCCCAGTCCTGGAGCACCTTCTGCGGGCTCGCTTCTCCGAGCCGCACCTCAGAGATGCCCTTTATCTGAAGCTCTATCATCCCGAGAGGCTCCAGCACTACATCAACCCAGAGCCCATGCGGATCCTGGAGTGGGTCGGCGTGGGCATGTTGCTGGGGCCCTTGCTAACCTGGCTATACATGCGGTTTGCCAGCCGTCCAGGGTTCAGCTGGCCCGTCATGCTCTTCTTCTCCCTGTATAGCATGGGTCTGGTGGAACTGGTGGGCCGGCACTATTTCCTGGAACTGCGGCGGCTGAGTCCTTCCCTGTACAGCGTGGTCCCTGCCTCTCAGTGTTGCACCCCCGCCATGCTCTTCCCTGCCCCTGCGGCCCGCCGGACCCTCACCTACCTGTCTCAGGTGTACTGCCACAAGGGCTTCGGCAAGGACATGGCACTCTACTCACTGTTGAGGGCCAAGGGGGAGCGGGCCTACGTGGTGGAGCCCAACCTCGTGAAGCACATCGGGCTCTTCTCCAGCCTCCGGTACAACTTTCATCCCAGTCTGCTCTAGAGTGCCAAGAAATGCCTTTCTGAACTTGGCCGCTTCTCGGTGATTCCGATACCGAGTTCTTTATTTCGACATGGTTGCTTGCAGTTATTTCATTGTTTCATGTTGTTAGGGATCTAGGCACTGAGACAGCTGAGAACGTACACGTCAAGAACCTTGGCTTTCGTAACTCTGGCAGGAGTGGATGTTCGCCCCGAGGCGGGACCCCTCTCCCTCCACACAGCCACACTGCCTCATGGAGTCTGACCCGCTCGCCCAGGGGGCATTTAAATACCAGTTGTATTCTGCAGTTGTCGTCAGCTCTGCTTTGTGATCGAGCTTGTGACTGCCAGAAATATTGTGCACAAAGACAATGACCGTTTTAGGATTTTAAGGGTAGGATTTGGTGAAAGGCGAGATCCTTTCCAAGGGATTTCTTTCTCACTGGGCATGAGAATGGATGTATGTCTAGAACATATGTCCAAAGAGGCAGGACCATATTGGCAGGTTCCATTTGTTTCTTTGACCTGGTGTAGTGAAAGCCGGTAAAAGCCGTTGGCAGTGCCTGACGACTTGGCGGCAGGTGATCTTGCTTCTGTTACGTGGTGTTTCTTTCCCATGCATCTGTAGCATACTGATGGTCAGTATTGTTGTGAGAACTTTAAGGCACAGTAAGATCTGGAAGCACCTTCTGGATCATCAAGGTCAGACTGCTTATGTTCAGTAGTGATTTCATATTGAACGTTTCTATCATATTCTGATTCTTTGAAAATTGGACATTGAAGAATGATGTAAACTGGGTGAGCTCTTTACGAATAGCATATCCTTTTCCTTAACTTTGCTGGCTAACCGTTCAACCTCATTTTTTTTTCCTTCTGGGTATCATGATGTTAGAGAAGCAAAAGCGTAGACTGTGAAGTCGGAAGGGCCTGAGTTTTTATTTCAGATCTCTGCCATGTCCTAGTGATGTGCACTTGGGCAAGTCATGACCACTCTGAGTCTCTGTTTTTTCACGTGTAAAATGGGGATGGCCATACCTACCTTTGAAAGTTGCCTTGAGGATCAAGTGACAGAACGTATGTAAAACACCCAGCAAGTGCATATAACACTCAAGTGTATTTTGGATAAAGATATTAGAGATACTGTTTCAAGTGTGTAGTAGGGCCCTAGGGCTCCTACCCGGGGGGGTAGCCATTCTGGACCAAGCTCCTAGAATAAAGGCTGGCTTGTTGTTGTGTTGAAGGAGATGTAGCTCAGCTTTCACCTGGTGCTGCCTCCAGCCAAGACAAAAATAATGGTTCGTTCGAACCGGAAATGATCTGAGACTGGTCTTGAGCTTATTCCAAGACCTGCGTCTGAAAACTACTCTCCTCCGAAGTTACACTTAAATGTCCCCTGACGATACTTACCAAGCCAGAGGCCAGTAAGTCCCCTCGTGAAGATGGATGTTGACATCGGAGTTCAAGCGTTGACGGGTCGTTTCATTTGCTTTTGAAATTTCCAGTGAGCTTCCATCCGGAGATCCCCTGGAGAGCACTGAGAACCTGGGAGTTCCACACCATGCTTTGCAGATGGACAAACTGAGGCCAAGGGAGGTGAAACCGCTTCCCCGGGGTCGCTCAGCTGGACAGCAGCGGACTTCCAGCTCCAGCACTTTTCTCTTAAGCACATTCATTTTCTAAATATCCATGCCGTCAGCATCTCTTTTGTAGAACCTGATTGTAACCTGGGTGGAACAATGTCTCTGTAAGCTCCCATGGTAGAAACTCATTGTCCTGTAAGTCTTGGGGAACCAACAGGTCTACGTGTGTGTTGTGTTGTTCTCGTGAGACGTCATGTGTCGCTCAGGAATGTCCGGAGTGAGCGGAGCTTCTGGATGACTTGTCAGGATGTTCAGATTCCACTGCTTCATTCATCCCCTCCCCATCCCTGGCTCATCCCATGTTCGGGAACAGAAGCACCTCTACTGCCTGCACCGCCTGCAACTCTAAATTAGAGTCTGTTGCATTAACGATTGGATCTCCTCGGGAATGTTTTTTGCCCAGCAACAGAAAGTTACATCTAAGATAGCTAAGCAGAAGATAGGGAATCATTGCTGGTTTATATTTCTGCTCTTTCGGATTCAGTTGTCTACCGCATGCAGATATCTCCTCCCTTGACTCCTTCATTCTGGATGGCTAAAGCCATCTTTGCCTTGTCTAATTTCTTATGTATCCACTAAGATGCCTTCCCCCGTCGATCTTAACTAGAGCCTACTGTCTTTGGACATTTTCTGCAGAGGCAGGCTCAGTTCTGCTGTCTTATCCTCACCCTCTTCTAGATCTCCGTCCCTTTTGTCCCTCATTCCTAGAGTCCAGTTTTTTGTGCTGTCCTTGGTTAAGACAGCTGGCAGCTTTACACCAAAGCTGAAGTCTCGTTTAATCCTAAGCAAGGGGGCTAGAGGAGAACTAAAGGACATAGGTCACCAGGAGGGTGAAGGTCTCTAACAGAACCTGCTCACCCTTCTGGGTTTAAATAATTGTCAGGCCTAAGAAGTTCCCTATTGCGACTGGGTATATGTGCATAGACATATCAGTTCAAATTAGAACACCTGTTCCACTGAGGCATCCTGAGAAGACTTTTGTCATTCTCTCTCATTCCTTTTTTTTTTTTTTTAAGATTTTATTTATTTATTTGACAGAGGGAGACACAGTGAGAGAGGGAACACAAGCAGAGGGAGTGGGAGAGGGAGAAGCAGGCTTCCCACCGAGCAGGGAGCCCGATGTGGGGCTCGATCCCAGGACCCTGGGACCACGACCTGAGCTGAAGGCAGACGCTCAACGACTGAGCCACCCAGGCGTCCCTCTCTCTCATTTCTGTGGATGGACTTTTCTGATGTGAATAGTATCAAAACTACACACACACACACACCCCATTTTGGAGTCCCAAGGTAGCCATTCACAATTATGGGCTGTTGGCTTAAAAATTCATAACTGATTTTGTTGTATTTCTTAAGTGGAAACATTTGAATTGTGCATTCCTTTTTATTGTTGTTTAAAGAAAAAAGGGTGACAATGCAACTGTGCAACTGAAGAATACAAATCGGATTAATATGATGATAGGATTAATCTAATTTACCTTGGATACACTCCTTATTTGGTAGAACTTATTTATTTGGTAACTTAAATTTGGGTAGAGAGGCATTCTAATTGGAGTTGATTGCTGTGGGATTTTTATATACACTACGAAACATTGTGAGCTATAGTAGTACACAATATGAAGTTGGCTAATTTTTTTTTTTTTAAGATTTTATTTATTTATTTGAGACAGAGAGAATGAGAGAGACAGAGAGCACATGAGAGGGGGGAGGGTCAGAGGGAGAAGCAGACTCCCTGCCGAGCAGGGAGCCTGATGCGGGACTCGATCCAGGGACTCCAGGATCACGACCTGAGCCGAAGGCAGCCGCTTAACCAACTGAGCCACCCAGGCGCCCCTGAAGTTGGCTGATTTTAAGTCACATGAACCACCTGGATATTTTTATCCCAACTACAGTGAATTTGCTGAGAAATGCTCATTAACTGGCACGGGGTTTGTTTTTAGGTTGGATTTTATTTGGAAAACCTTTGGGGGCTATGTCAAAGATGATCGATAATGTAATTAAAAAGTACTTAATGTATTAGAACTGCAGTGGAAATGTACTGTGGCTTCCAGCTCTCTCCAGGACTTGGGTTGTAGCATTGTCATGAGTCATCACTCTTAAGAATGGGTATTTTTGGCTTAGAACTTAACAGATTTTCTTGATTTTTTTCCCTAATGCCCTACACAGAAATGTGAGTGAATGAACTGATTCAAAAGAGGCAGCTCTACTAATAATCTGGGGTAAAAGCAGATGAAAATCCAAAGCCAAATGATGAATTTATCCAAAAGAAACACGGAACAGATGGTGTTAGTATGTAGGAATGGGGTAGCTTTAAGATGTCCGAGAGATGGAAGAGGAAGACAAAGATGTAGAGTGAAGCAGAGGATCTCACATTTGTCACGTTTCTGTGTGTCCCAAACTCCGTATGTAATCAATTCTTTTTTTTTTTAAGATTTTATTTTTAAGTACTCTCTACACCCAACATGGGGCTCAAACTCACAACCCCAAGATCAAGAGTCGTATGGTCCACTGAGCCAGCCAGGCGCCCCTGTAATAAATTCTTCCTGTGTGTCCCACTGTCATGAAATCTTTATAGGACCAGCCTATGGAGAATGCATAGGAACTAAATAATGAATAGTCAGTGTTCTAGATAAATAGTTCATTACTTTGCTAGGACCTGGCTTCCTACTGCATTTAGAATAAAGTTCAGCCCCCCTACATTCCCTTCCAGGCCAGGTGGAATCTTGCCCCTGCAAATTGTCTGACTTATGTCTTATTACCACTCCCATCCTTGTTCTCCAGGCTCTAACCATGCCAGCTTGCGTTCACTTGCTTAGACTTGCTGCACTGATTCTTACTGCAAGGCCTTTGCATGGCCATCCTCTCTATCTGGAACACTTTTCCTTTGGCTGAATCTTTCCTATAATCTAGGCCTCAACTTAATTTTAATCCTTCCCAATAGACTTCCCATCCTCTCTAAAGCAGTCGTCCCCCTTCCCGATCCCCAGGCCCATCTATCACTTACCCAGTTTGATTCTCTTCAAAGCTCTTGTCATGACCGAAATTCCCTTATTATCTTGGGATATTTCCCCCTCCTCTCCCCAAAGGATATAAACTTCCCAATATCTGGACTCTTCTTTTTCATTTACGCTGTATACCCTGGAACAATACCTGACACATAGTAGGAAATGAATGAATGAAAGAGGAAGGAAGGAAGGAAAGAAAGGCAAGCAGGAAGGAAGGGAAGAAAAGAAAAAGAAGGGTAGAAAGGGTAGAGGGGTCCACAGTGGAACTGCCTATGGAAAAGAGAAATACTAGTAGAAGAGAAAAGGGACTAGGGAGGAAAATTTAGTAGGAGAGACAGAGTAGAGTCCAGGTAGTGAGGGTTGGTTATGATGTACAATTCTGACTCCACTGAAAAGCTTTTTACATGCATTCCAGGCAGAGGGAATGACAAGCACAAAAAGGAACTTTTGACACCAACCACACAGCTGCTTTTTTGGGTTGTTATGGTTTTATTTCTAGTGTGTGCATTGGGAGTTGTGGGGGCGGGGAGGGTCCTGTGTGTTACTGTCAGGCGAAGGCTGGGATTTTCCCTTCGGGCTGCAATCTTCCTGGTGCTGCCAGTGGGAATCATCTAGATATGAACACCACGCACGGTGGGTCCACGGCCTCTTCTAGGACTTTTAGGCCAAGAGGCTGGAAAGAGAGTGACAGAACAATCCCCACACTGTACCGGTGAACTCAGATTATAGGGGTGAGTGGCTCTGGGTGGTAGCAGTGGTCTTTGGCAAAACATTATATGATTTAACACAAACCAAGAATAGAGACGTAAAGCTTCCCAGAGACGAGACGTGAGGAACAGGCCACTCTTAGAGGATCGTTTTTCTGATACATGACTTTTGGGTTATTTTATGTTCTGTTAGCATGGCTTTGTTTATTTTTTTTTTTTAAGATTTTATTTATTTGACAGCGAGAGTGGGAACACAAGCAGGGGGAGTGGGAGAGGGAGAAGCAGGCTCCCCGCCGAGCAGGGATCCCGATGCAGGGCTCAATCCCAGGATCCTGGGATCATGACCTGAGCTGAAGGCAGACGCTTAACCGACTGAGCCACCCAGGCACCCCTAGAGGCCCATACTTCAGAAACACAAGTCAACTAGTCTGTGTAGATTTCTTTCTAGCACCATGTTTGAGCAATTCCTCTTGTCCTTCTCAACCATACTTTGCCAGCCCTAATATATCCAGAATCCATAGCCAGCTAGGGTTCACCAAATGAAGGTTGGCTTCCATCTAGCTCCTCCTGTAATGGAGTTTATGATAAAGGAAGCAGGGTCCCTGGAATCTACACGTGGAGTGCTCTCCTTTTGAACAAGAAGAGGAAAAATCATCTAAATTTTAAAAGTTATTAAAAAAAATAATGGTGTCTATCACATTCATAATCATAGTTCATGTATTATTCTGCAAGGAATTACATCAAGCAAAGTAATCATATGTAAATCTAAATATAGTGTTTTATCTCCATCTTAAAAATGCCTAAATCACATTAGCAATATTCATTCAGATGACTCAAGTTGTTTTCTCATTTTAAAATGTTTTCCCAGTTTTACTGAGAAATAATCGACATATATCACTGTATAAGTTTAAGGCATACAGCATGCTGGTTTGATTTACATATATTATGAAATGATTACCATGATAGGTTCAGCTAACATCCATCTTGTCATATAGGTACAATAAAAAGAAAAAAACTATTTTTTCCTTGTCATGATTTTTTTTAATTTCACTGAACTATTAGCTGAAACGCCCCACTCTGCAGAAACACACTCCCTTATTTGAAACAGAAAAAGCTTTGAAGAGATCAGAATCACATTTTCTTTCGTTTTATCAGTTAACACCGGAGGAAGAAAACTGTTTTAGCCAAATTAACCCCTACCGTCACGCTTAAATATGAATCCTCACACTAAGGCAGAGACACACATTAAAATTCAGAATTACATCTCGTACATCAGGAAGGTGTGTTGGAAATTTTGCAGGCTGGTTTCAGTGCAGGAAATAGTTGTAGCCTAAGGATGCATTTAGCTGCAAATAACAGAATCCAGTCTCCCAGGGCCTCAGGCAATAATGATGTTTGACTGTATCACCTAAAAAGCAGTCTGGAGAAGGCAGGCTCAGTAATGCAATGGTGTCATTCAGGACCCAGATTCTGTCTCTCCTTCTTGTCCTCCATCTTTTGCTCATTGGCTACTGTAGCCTCAAATACTACATCCTCACAGGGCTACCTTCAAAGATGGAAGAGACTGGGGTAGGAAAAAAACTTTCTCCTTGTGAAGCTCTATGTTTCTTTTCCAGGAAGAACAATTTCAGGACGTCTCCCTGAGACCTCTCCTTTAGTTTCATTGGCCAGATACGGGCCAGGCCCTCTCTTTGACCAGTCCCAGGCAAAAGGAATTTGGATAAACCCAATCCCAAATCCCTCCATTTTAGCTTAGGTGGGGGCTTATCTTTCTTGACCTCAAGGGCTCTCTACCCATCACCCAAACAGAATGGGGCTTTTGTTAGCCAGAAGGATGGATGTGGATTGCTCATGGTCAAAATGTGAACAGTGACGGACCTGTTTCTGGAGGAAGTAGGCAAGACTTAATATTTTTCCTGCTCTTGCCGCTTTGTATGATATTTAGAGATTGAAGCAACATGGAGATTTATTTTATTTAGATTAGATTTATTTAACCATATAGTCACAGAGTTATATCATAGGAGCCTTTAAGAAAGATACTGCTACAAGATCGTTTTGGAGTGTCAAAAGCTGTGAGAGGCTTAACTTGTCAAATTCCTAGAAGCCCATAAGACTTCCTTTTCTTCCCAGTAGGATAGGACATCTATCTGAGCTGCTGAACGGGAAACATCATGGGACAATAAGACCATTGTTGCTAGTTTCAAGGAGGTATAGATATTCAAACTCAAACTGGACAAGGGGGTGGACCAGTTGACACCTGAAGATCATGCTTTCTACTTAGTGTTGAACTGTTCTGAATTACTGACTTGGGGCACACCAAGAGCTTTTTATTTTTTTCCAAATTCACAGTTTTAGAAAGTGGTCACATAAATGTCGATATGTAGTATGAACTGTGCTATAAATTTCTGAAACAGGCGAACATTAATATGTCTACATTAGAAAGTATTTTCCTGTCTGTACTCAGTTTCATCAGAAAACTATGAAATTGAAATCATGTTTCAATTGAAATCAGTGAAATTATGTTCAACAAGAAAACTCAGCATCCTTGGAAGTTCAGAGGTAGGTCTGACAGGAACTCTAGGGAGATCCTGAAATTTCTAGCAATCTCTTGAGCAGTGTTTGGCAGTTCACTCTTTAAGAAAGGAATAAAGATGAAGATAAGAACCACAATCTGTTCTAGAATTGCAAACTCTCCCCAACAAAAGATATCCCCCCAATTCAGTCAATTAATACTAGTGACACCTAGTCTCACCAGCCTGTGAGTGCAAATGAAGTCATGTTAACATTAAATAATGCAGCTTCCTTTGTTGACACACTCTTCACCAGCCCCTAAAATCCTCACTCGAATATTTCTTGAGAACCTCCAAAAAGGTACCTTACATGTATGTGTCACATAGCAATTTGCTATCCACAATTACCACACAGCATCTATCTTGTCTTTCCTCTCCTATTCTGCCCCACACTGCCTGCAAAGTAACTCTAAAGGGCCTCTCCCTTTCCCCTGCTATGGTAGTCTGTGCCCGGGTTACTATTTTTTAATGCTTACCGAACTATCAGTCCTGGAGGCTAAGCCAGACTTTGGCACAACAAGAACAAATGCTAAAGTCTCAGCAACAAAGGTTTATTTCTCACTGCCATAAAATCCAATAAAGATCTGGGCAACCCTTTAGGACAACTATTTTCCATGTAGGAACTCAAGAATTGAGGCTGAGAGAGGTTTCACCATCATGTAGCTGCCCCATCAGGAGCAGGAAACCTCCTTGGTCAACCAAGCAGGCTTAAAGAAAGATAAAGAAAAGACTTGCTTGTTACTCAGCAGCTCTTTGCGTCAGACTGCAAATGGCCAGAGCCATGGCCTCATTGAACTGCAAGACGGCTGAAAAGTACAGAGAGGTCCTCCATATATATGAAAGAGGAGAAGAACAGTAGTGAAACAGTATTTGGTAAATAATAGTAATACCTAGTTTACAGGTCAGTGCTGGGTTCTGGGAAAAAGTGGAAACAATGACCCTCTCCGTTTTTGTTTTTTAAGATTTTTTAAGTGTATTTATGTATTTATTTAGAGAAAGGGAGAGAGAGAGAGTGCAAGCAGGGGGAGGGGCAGAGGCAGAGGAAGAGAGGATCTCAAGCAGACTCCGCACTGAGCACGGAGCCCTATGTGGGGCTCAATCTCAGGACCTGAGATCACAACCTGAGCCGAAATCGAGAGTCGAACTTTTAACCGACTGAGCTACCCAGGCGCCCCTCTCTCTCCAGTTCTGTGCTCTGTTTTGTCACCTGATCCTCAAATCAGTACTGCTTATGTCCAGAGTTCCAGAAACTTTCTCATGAGTAAGCTCCATTGTCAGTGTTTAATCCATCATTTTTTCTGTTAGGAGTTTCTTTCTTTCTTTTTTTAAGATTTTATTTATTTATTTGGCAGAGAGAGAAAGAGCACAAGCAGGGAGAGCAGCAAGCAGAGGGAGAGGGAGAAGCAGACTCCTCACTGAGCAGGGAGCCCAATGTGGGGCTCCATCCCAGGACCCTGGGATCATGACCTGAGCCAGAGGCAGACGTTTAACGACCGAGCCACCCAGGCGCCCCAGGAGTTTTGACATAGTCCAAGAATGGGGACACAATGCTGCACCATCTCTCTCTCTCTTTTTCATGACAAATCGGCATACACCCCTTTGTTTCTAATCCTCCTTCAGACAGTGTCTGACGTGTTCACTACTGTATCATTAAGTCACAGCCCAGTACCTGGAACTCCAAAGTGTGTTAATGAGTGGATGGCTGGAGGGATGGAAGAGGGGGGCGGATCGATGAATCATAGTTTTGTCTCCACCCAGAGAGGAAGCTCAAAGGAGGCCTGTTACCACTTTCTATTTACCTTTGGAACCTCTGGCACTTTGACCCTAGCTGCGGTCCTTCTATCTTGGACACCATTTTTACCTCTTTTTTGGGGGCTCCCTTTGGACTGGGACCTTGTTTAAGATTAACTATGGGAGAGTGAGCGTTTCAGTTT